TAGGGCCTCCGAAGTTGCCCATTGTAGTTGGGCAGGTTCCTAAGGGAGCAGGTAGTCGTTCGGGCATGTCAGATAGAATTCTGTTTGTGCCCAAAGTGGATGGCTTTCGGGACCGGGAGGCGGGACGGCAGGCGTTGTCTCTTGCGTCACCTCTCTCTTCCCCCGGCCCCTCCCAGTGCTCGGCCGAGTGTGGCCCAGGGATCCAGCGCCGGGCGGTGGTTTGCTTGTCCAGCAACGCCAACGAGCCGACAGAGGAGAACTGCGTGGGCACGAAGCCGATTGACATGCGGTCGTGCAACGGTGGCCCCTGCCAACGAGTCACCCGATGGTACAGCGGACCCTGGAGCCCGGTGAGTAGAAAAGGGTGGGGGGGGCTTTGGAGGGGAGCCCGGGGACGCACCTTGGTACCTGGCAGTGTTTCCTCTAAGCTGAGTGAGCGAGAGCCAGTTCACGGTTTCTTAACCTCCGGCTCACACATTTTTGTCTTCGCTCAGGGAAGGAGGGCTCCAGAGCAAGCTAATGGATGCAGCGGGCAAATCGCTGCCTCACAACTTCAATGCCCGTAGCTCACAAAGTAGAATTTTTGCTCACAGGACTCCACAGCTTAGAGAAGAAGAAGAAGAGAGGAGATTGGATTTATAACCCGCCCTTCACTTGGAGTCTCAGAGCGGCTTACAAACTCCTTTCCCTTCCCCTACCCACAACAGGCACCCTGGGAGGTAGGTGGGGCTGAGAGAGCTCTGACAGAAACTGCTCTTTTTCAAGGACAGCTGTGCCAGAGCTTGTGACTGACCCAAGGTCATCCAGCCAGGTGCAAGTGGAGGAGTGGGGAATCAAACCCAGCTCTCCCAGATTACAGTCCGCACACTTAACCACTGCACCAAACTGGCTCTCATTGCATTGGTACCAGGCCCAAAACCTTCTGTCACTCAGTCACTGAAATAATTTTGTCCAGTGTGAAATATCCTGCCGAGGAAATCCCAGAGGACGTTTTAGCAGCCCTTCTGAAAGACTAGCAAAAGAAGACAATCCCTCAGAGTCAGTTTGGTGTGGTGGTCAGGAGCGCGGACTGTAATCTGGGAGAACCGGGTTTGATCCCCCACGCCTCCACATGCAGCTGCTGGTGTGACCTTGGGTCACTCACAAGTTCTCTCAGAGCTGGTCTTGAAAGAGCAGTCCTCGAAAGAGCTCTCTCAGCCCCACCTGCCTCACAGGGTATCTGTTGTGGGGAAGGGAAGGGAAAGGAGTTTGTAAGCCGCTCTGAGACACCTTTGAGTAGTGAAGGGCAGGGTATAAATCCAATCTCTTCTTCTTCATGTTATTATCACACCCCGTCATTTTTGCCAGTTGCATTTTGCTGAGGTAGGCTGCCGCTGTATGTGGATGTTCCTTTCAACTTAATCCCTCTGAGCTCCTGGGTGACCAAGCAGGGAGAAGCTTTCTCAAGCTGGAAGAGAGATTGGTTTTCCCATTGGCTGGTGACATTTGACCCAAAGCAGACAGGGTTGGGGAGTTTGGCTTTCAGAGCCACCTTTTAAATAAATTCTCAGGTGTGTGGGGTTCCTGCTTTGCGGGGAGGGCGGGGTATAAATTTGATTATAAATAAATAAATAAATAAATTTGGTTCGGGACCATAAGGTGGGTCCATGAAGCGTGCAAGTCTTTCCTCCAGTCTCACAAGTCTCACCCTGGGACCCAGACACTCTTCAAGGGTAGGCCCAAGTAGAGCACGTTGCAGTAGTCTAGTCTCCTTGGCACGGAATTTGGGCGGCCAGGTTGGACAGTTCTGATTGTGTGTGTTTCCTCTAAAGCCGATGTGGGCAACCCCACGACCTTTCCTTCCCCCCTCCATCCTTCCCGCAGTGCTCAGCGGAGTGCGGCAGCGGCACTCAGCGCCGGGACATCGTCTGCGTGAGCAAACAGGGCTCCGACTTCAACGTGACGGACGCCTCCGAGTGCGGCCACCTGGAGAAGCCGCCCTCCCTGCAGTCTTGCAACGGGAACGCCTGCAAGGCCCGCTGGTTCTCCACGGCCTGGGGTGCGGTGAGTGAGCCCGTCCCCAGGGAGGGGGCACGGTTTTCTCCCTAGGGGAGGAGGGGGGAAACCCGGGGCGCCTCTCTCTAGCCGGGCCGTACCCCCCGTCCCCCTGTCTCTTGCCCCCCCCCCAGTGCTCCAAGACCTGCGTGGGCGGCGTGCAGGTGCGGGAGGTCCAGTGCCTGACCCAGAACAAGACCCTCAGCCGACTCTGCCCCCCGGACCTCAAGCCGGCCAAGAAACGGTCCTGTAACAACCAGCCCTGCATCCCGGACCTGGGTGAGAAGGGAGGGAAAGGCCTGGAGGTTTTGGGGGTGGAGCCTGGGGAGGGCGGGGTCTGGGGAGGGGAGGGACTTTGATGGGGTATCATGTCATAGAGCAGGGGTGTCAAACATGCGGCCCGGGGGGCCGGGTGAGGCCCCCGGAGGGCTTCTATCAGGCCCGCAGCGGAACTGGCTGTCTTCCGCTTCTTCTTCCCGTTCTGCTGCTGCTGCTGCGTCATCGTAGGTTTGCAGCTTACAGATAGACACCTGAAAAGCATACTCAAGATTGCAACAGCACAGACATTTTGATGCAGTAATTCAGAGCAAGAGGTGCCAGTTATCAAGACACTATTAAATAAACAAAATATTGCAAGAGTGCTCATGTTTTAAGCATGTTTTTAAGTTTAAAAAACTCCTTTGTGTTTGTGTCCTTTATAAAGTTTATATCTCCGCCACCTGGCATTACCTTTTATGACGCACATGGCCCAGCCCAACAAGGTCTCATTTGCTCTTATTTCGGCAACATGTTCCAAAGATGGATCTGGCTGAGTTTAAAGTGAGGAGGAGGAGGAGGAGACTGGATTTATACCCTGCCCTTCACTACCTGAAGGAGTCTTAGAGCGGCTTACAATCTCCTTTCCCTTCCCCTACCCACAACAGACACCCTGTGAGGTACGTGGGGCTGAGAGAGCTCTTTCGAGAACTGCTCTTGAGAGAACAGCTCTGAAAGAACTTGTGACTGACCCAAGGCCTCACCAGCAGGTGCATGTGGAGGAGTGGGGCATCGAACCCGGTTTTCTCAGATTAGAGTCCATGCTCCTAACCATGGCCCCGATTACTCACAGAAGTTGCCGCAGGATACCTGGGCAGACAGAAATGAGGCAGGTGATGTTTTCTTCATCCCTGCAACTCCAGAAAGCCCTCCCACTGTTGCCCCCCAGGCACCAAGAATACAGAGCATCCCTGCCCCAGACAGAGTCATAGCCACTCACGGACTTTTGCTCCATATGTCCATCCAATCCCCTCTTGAAGCTGCCTGTGCTTGTAGCCGCCACCACTTCCTGCAGCAGGGAATCCCTCGTGTTCATCCTGACACTTTGGGTGAAGGACGACTCCCTTTGCTCTGTTCCGAGCCTGCTGCTCCTTAATTTCATGGGAGTGCCCGCGAGTCCTTGTATTGTGAGAAAGGGAGGAAAGGACTTCTTTCTTTGCCTTCTCTCTCCCAGGCATAACTTTGTAAACTGTCTCTCTCTCTCTCTCTCTCTCTTCCTCTGGCAGATGAGAACTGCAGAGACCAGTACCACAACTGCCCGGTGATCGTTCAAGCCCGCCTCTGCGTCTACTCCTACTACAAGGCGGTTTGCTGCGCTTCTTGCACGCACGCCCTGGAAAGGCGCCACGCTGGACCCAGCCGGTAGCGCCAGCCGACGGTGGGCAAGCAGGACCCAGGCTGGCACCCTTACCGAACGGGGGACAAGTCGGACAAAGAGCCCCTGTGACCCCCTGAACCCCCCCCACCCCCACGGCTTCGGAAACAGCTGGGGACGATGGGGGAAGGGCAAAGTGTTCCCAAAATGGGGCAGACCGGGAGGGATTTGAACTCAAGACTGAGGGGGTCCCCTCCGTGTCCCGTACTGTATACACTTTTTGTGACGGAAGTGACTCGCGCTGCATCCAGCCTTCCTGCATCCAGCTTCCTGTTGCACAATAGAGAGAGCGACAGACTTTTATCATTTTCATTCAATCCTTCTCCCAGAGTCTCTTTTCCCCTGCGGGGGGTGGGAGGGGGGGGTTGTAGCGTGAATCAGGAATTTATCACGGCGTGCAAAAGATCCCAGAGGGTCTGAATGTGAGCTTACCTATGCAATACCTGTTCTTTCAAACTCCAAATGATCCCCGTCTTTGACCCCAGCCCCAAATTGCTTCTCTTCCCCGATGAAGTACGACCAAGACGTTGTTTCTGTTCTCTGGACTCCGCGGTGCTTACCTGCGGCTGCCCGGAAGTGACATTTTCAAACGTGAAGTGCCCGTGCCGGATGAAGTCTGCTTTGCCGGCTTTTCGGCAAGGGAGGAGTGGGGCGTGGATTATACGTCACTTGGATTCCCCTTCTCAAAGGGATGGTAAGGGACAAAGGGTCAGGGAGAGGAAGGGGGTTGCCCCTCCGGATCCCACCCGAGTCCGGATTTCGTACCCGAAACCAGCAATGCAACCGGCGTTCCCTCTAAGCTGAGTGAGTGTGAGCCAGCTCATGGCTTTTGTCTTCGCTCCGGAAGGAGGGCTCCAGAGCAAACGAATTGATGCAGCAGCCAAATCTCTCGCTCCCAACTTTAATGCCTCACAAAGTAGAATTTTTACTCACAGGACTCCACAGCTCAGAGGGAGCGTTGAATGCAACTCTCGAGCAGTACAATGCTACTTGGGCGGGCGGGTAGGAGAGAATGCTACTTGGGCGGCTTCCCCAGCCGTGATGAAAATCTTGGCTGGTCAAGGAGGGCGAAAAGACCCCGGAGTTCTGTTCCCTGTTTCCGAGTCTGACATTCGCTGGCCCTTTTTGGTTGGTTTGGGAGAGCCAGTTCGGTGTAGTGGCGAAGTGCGCGGATTCTGATCTGGGAGAACCAGATTTGATTCCCCACTCCTCCACTTGCAGCTGCTGGGTGACCTTGGGCACGCCATCGTTCTGTCAGAGCTCTCTCAGCCCCACCCACCTCACAGAGTAGGGTGTCTGTTGTGGGGAGGGGAAGGGAAAGGCGTTTGTAAGCCCCTCTGAGACTCCAGAGTGAAGGACGGGGTATAAAACCTATCTCTTCCTCTTCTTCTTCTTTTCCTTTGAGAAATCTATTGGTGCTACTTCTGCAGGAGGTGAAAGGGTAGGGGGCGGGACATGACGACCGAGCGTCCCGTCTTCTGCCACTCGCGTTGTCATAGAACGTTCTACCTTCAGGAAACCTTCTCTGTGCAGACTACTCTACTGCGGAACTTTAGTGCAATGCGGAGGATTCCAGGGAGCTCTTTTGGGTGTGCACCGGGGGCCCCCGCCGTTGCTTTGTGCAAACCCAAGAGAATGACACATAAGAACATAAGAGGCGCCAGTGTTGGATCAGTCCAGTGGCCCATCCAGTCCAACACTCTGTGTCACACAGTGGCCAGAAATACCAGGGGCCATCAGGAGGTCCAGCAGTGGGGCCGGGGCACTAGAAGCCCTCCCACTGTTGCCCAAGCACCAAGATGACAGAGCATCCCTTGCCCCAGAGCCCCTATCTATACCTTGTGGCTAATAGCCACTGATGGACCTCTGCTAGCCACTGATGGACACAGAAGACAACCTGTACTCTCCGTGGTGGCGTGTTGCAGGAGATGGTCTGGAGAGATGGGCAAATGACCCTTCTGGTTTGCCTGGCAAAGGGCCTAACGGGATGTGACGTGATCCTCGTGTAAATGACTGTTCCCTCTCTCCACCTGCGCCCCTGATTGTGCACGCACAAGACAGACTGTTCCAGCCGGAGAGCCAGCGATCCTCCCATTCCCTTGCCGTAGCCCAGACACTCATCTTGGCTGGAATAGCAGTGTGGGTGTGGGGGGGCTTTCCTCTCCCAGACACCATCCCATGATTCCTTGCAATTCAAGCGTGTCCCGTACCTCCATCAAAATCTAAAGCAGGGTTCCCCAACACGGTGCCCACGGGCACTACGGAGTTTGCCCGTACTTCCCTTGGAGCCCACCAAGCTTTTCAGAAAGCGGATGAAGCCACGTTAAGGGAGGGCACGCTACTGGCTTGTTGTATGGCCGCAAGGTGGCGTCCATCTGAATGTATTCGAGTGGTATCCGGCATCAGCCATGGACAAGACTGTATCTGCCAGCTTTGATAAAGGATTGTCCATAGGTTCGCAAGTATACATGAGGATAATGTCTCATCTTGTTCAGTCCCAGGATTCTGCATCTTAAGAACACCACAAAAGCCCTGCTGGATCGGACCAGTGAGGGTACATCTAGTCCAGTGGCCAACCAGTTCCTCTCGAGGGCCAGCAACAGGGCAGAGAGGCTGAGGCCTTCATAAGAACATCAGAAGGGCCCTGCTGGATCAGACCAGGGACGGTCCATCTAGTCCCGCATCCTGCCTCACACAGGGGCCGACGAGTTCCTCTGGAGGGCCAACAACAAGGCAGAGAGGCTGAGGCCTTCATAAGAACATCAGAAGGGCCCTGCTGGATCAGACCAGGGACGGTCCATCTAGTCCCGCATCCTGCCTCACACAGGGGCCGACGAGTTCCTCTGGAGGGCCAACAACAAGGCAGAGAGGCTGAGGCCTTCATAAGAACATCAGAAGGGCCCTGCTGGATCAGACCAGGGACGGTCCATCTAGTCCCGCATCCTGCCTCACACAGGGGCCGACGAGTTCCTCTGGAGGGCCAACAACAAGGCAGAGAGGCTGAGGCCTTCATAAGAACATCAGAAGGGCCCTGCTGGATCAGACCAGGGACGGTCCATCTAGTCCCGCATCCTGCCTCACACAGGGGCCGACGAGTTCCTCTGGAGGGCCAACAACAGGGCACAGAGGCCGAGGCCTTCCCCTGAGAAGAACCTCAGAAGAGCCCTGCAGGATCAGACCAGTGAAGGTCCCTCTAGTCCAGCCTCCTGCCTCACACGGGCCAACCGGAGGTCCAACAAACAAGGCACATGTGGGCAGCAGCCCCTCCTTGACCCCGAGAAGCGTCACTTGGTGGTTACTACAGCCCAAAGGCACCAGAGCGGACTCCCATAGCTTTTTAAGAAGGGCCGGCCTGGCAGGAGTCCAGTAGGCTCAGCCTTTTCCCTATCCCTGCATCTCCATGCTTGGAGAGGCTTCACCTGTTGAATGTATGTTTGGGGGGGGGGGTTGAATTCCATAATCAGGTGCTTGAATTAATGTTGGGGGGGGAGTCTGGCTGGCTTCCCCCCCTTGGCGACGGCTTCCTTGACACCAGGGTGCCGCCTTTGGTACGTCATCGGCTCCTTTTCTTTCCTGGCAAGGCAACTGGGCCTCTGCAGGGTCAGGCAGAAATTCAATGGGTAGAGCTTCTCCCACCCTAGAACAGATGTTACGGCGGGTTAGAACTCTGCCCGGTTGAAATTATGCCTGTAACACAGCTGCTTGAAGACGAATGATCTCTGCCAGGGAGGGAAGGTGGCCACCTGGACGAAAGAGAGAGGGCGGCTTCCCCTACCCATCTGGACGGTGTGGGGGTGCAGGGCAGCCGATGGGGGGACGGGAGAGAGCCAGGCCCGGTCCGGTGGGGTCCCCTGCACCTTTAGGAACGGCACAAGAGCGAAAAGGCTACCAGGATGGGCGTGGGGGCGGGGAGGCCGCAAACTCTCCAGAAACGAGCAAAGTATACTGAAGACATTTTATAGAGTGCTCAGAGTATATGATTCTATATAAATATATATGTATATATATACAAATCTCTATGGTAAAGCTGAATGTATCTAGGTTTGTATGTGCCCCCCCTCCTTTTTGCTCCAAATCTAATTTATTTTTTATTAAAGATAATTGGATGTTTACATGTCGGGTGTTTTTGTAAGGCCTGCTTTCTTCTCACAGGGTGCCTGTTGTGGGGAGAGGAAAGGAAGGAGATTGTAAGCCGCTCAGAGACTCCAAGGGAAGGGCAGCGGGTATAAATCCAATCTCCTCTTCTCCTTAAAGGTGCCACTGGACCCAAACTTTGTTCTGGCAACTTAGACGTGTTTAATAGTAGTACAGCAGAAAACCCATGTCAGTATTATGAACAGAAGTGTGTGTATGTGTGGGGAGTTTGAGAGCCAGTTTGGTGCAGTGGTTAAGTGCGCGGACTCTAATCGGGGAGAACTGGGTTTGATTCCCCACTCCTCCACTCGCAGCTGCTGGGTGACCTTGGGTCAGTCACAAGCTCTGGCACAGCTGTTCCTGAAAGAGCAGTTTGTGTCAGAGTTCTCTCAGCCCCACCCACCTCACAGGGTCTCTTCTGTTGTGGGGAGGGGAAGGGAAAGGAGTTTGTAAGCCGCTCTGGGACTCCGAATAAAGGGCGGGGGATAAATCCAATCTCTTCCTCCTCCTCCTCCTCGTCTTCTTCTTCATATTTCCTCATGATTGATCATAGTAGTAAAAAACAACCCACCCCCCTCCCTGGCGACATGCATGGTAATAGAATATTCATTTGTTTTGGCTGTTACATATGTGGAACAGAAGTTAGAACTCTTTCTCCCCCATCTTAATTAGATGTAATTACATTTTAAACACTAACAAAGCTTCTAGGCATAAGCTTTTGTGTGCATGCAGGAGCTGCGGTGGCTCAAGTGGTTAAGACGCTGAACTGCAGGCTGTGGAAGGTCGGTAGTTCAGCAGTTCGAGACCCGAGTTGCCACATGATGGAGTGAGCTCCCGTCTCTCGTTCCAGCTCCTGCCAACCTAGCAGTTCGAAAGCAAGAAATTGCAAGTGGATAAATAGGTACCGGAGCTGCGGTGGCTCAAGTGGTTAAGATGCTGAACTGCAGGCTGTGGAAGGTCGGTAGTTCAGCAGTTCGAGACCCGGGTGCTGCATGATGGGAGTGAGCTCCCGTCTCCAGTTCCAGCTCCTGCCAACCTAGCAGTTCGAAAGCAAGAAATTGCAAGTAGATAAATAGGTACCACTTTGGTGGGAAGGTGACAG